GCTGATGAAATGAAATACAGATGGGTAACGTGCGATACTGTAGTGAATAATGGTTATCAAGATGGATTGTGAGTGTTGGAAATGCAAGGGTAGATGTTTTGTAGCAAGGAAGAGAGCGATTATTTCTCCAGTCTAGGAGCGGAGGTCTCTGGGACCACCAACGGATAAGAGCCGAGAGAACGGGACCCCACCCAGAGAACTGGGGATGCCTGAGATGGAGACAGAGATGATGACATGGAGGGGTGAAGCGGCTGGGGACTTTGGATTTAGAGAGGGAAAGGAACTGTGGTCCGAAGACTGAGGAGGGAGGGGGGGAGGGTAGAGCACGGGCTTCTAGGATATGCCCTTTGGTCGGAAGAGATGCATGGAGGGATTGGAACCATGGCAATGTAATGATATCCGATGGAATGAATATGGAACTGAGGTTCTCTCATGAAAACTATCATATAATTCACAATAAAACAGTAAAAAAAAAAAAAAGAATCATCGAGTCAGTTCTGACTCATAGTGACCCTGTATATAACCCTGACTCGTAGTGATCCTGTAAATCTTTGTGGGAACAGAAAACCGCATCTTCCCCCCACGGAGTGGCTAACAGGCTTGAACCACTGACCTTGTGGTTCAGTCGAGTACTTATCCTACAGAGCCACTGGGCTCCATAGGGTGTGTAAGTAAGGAACAAAAGTATAATATTTAATATTTACAGTGACATTTTAACCAGGTAACCTTAATACTGGTCCACTATCTACTCCTTAAGCATTCTGGTTAATAGAATTTGTATTGCAAAATATATCTTTGCCAGTTTGGGGGGAAAGTCTGGCAGTTCCTCAAAATGTGAAATACAAAATTATCATGTGATCCATTAGTTTCATTCCTGGGGAGGGGGCAATCTCCCCGAAGAAAAGGAAAACAAATTGTCCACACAAAACTGTGTACATGAATGTGCACAGCAGCACTGCTCAGAGTGAACTTTACAAAGTGGAAACAACACAAGTGCCCATCAACAGATGAATGGATACACAAACTGTGGTCTGTCTGTACATGGAACTATGACTGGGTCATGAAGAAGAATCAAGTACACACTCATGGTACAACATAATGATCCATCTTCCGTGAATTGTCTGCAGTAATCAGACCTATAGAGACAGGGCCTGGGAATAAGTAGGAGAAGGGATAGGGAGTAGGTAGGAGAGGAAATGGGGATGCTCATTGGTTTGTTTTTGGGGTGATGAAAATGTAAAATTGGTTAACAGAGTTCCACTATGAATATAGTTGCTGTGTGACTCTATTGGAAAACCACAGAACTATATACTTTAAATAAGTGCATTTTATGGCATGCAAATTTTATCTCACAATACCGTGTTTCCTATTTATAGAACCCAGAATTAACTTATTCCATTAATTTCACAGACAACTACCCAGGTCCCCTACTGGTGGCAGTGGGTTAGATGTTCTGGGGGGGGAGGGGGTGGTGAACAGATAAATTAGGATGACCCTTGGGTCTTGGTGCTAGTAGGATAACGTATGGTGACAGTGATCAATCCCCCTGACTCAGGCTTGGAGAGCTCCACATTGGAATCCGCTGATGGAGTCTGGCTCATTTCCTGTCCCAGATCATTCCTGTGAAGGTGGCTGTTGTGAATGTGCTCTGTACCTGTGGGGAGCGACAACAGTTAGAACCTCCCATCTGGTGGCCAGGGTCAAGGGCATTGTTGTTGTTAAGTGCCGTTAAGTCAGTTCCAACCCAACCCATAGCCACCCTTTATGGGGTTTCAGAGGAGTGACTGATGAGCTTGAACTGCCAACCTTGTAGTTCAAACCGACTTTTCAGTCCAGTGCATTGACCCAGTGGCACCACATTTTCCCGGAGGGAAGCAAGTTTACACACTATCGACGTCATGGACTCAGCACGCGTCTCTCCAGGGCTCGCCGGCGCGCTTGCGTGGGGCTAGCACGCACGTCCCCGGCTGCCTAGCAACCGCTCAACTCAGTGGCTTCAGTAGCCTCGTGGACATGCAGGAGCCTACGGGAACCGTGAGCGCCGCTGTCCGAGAGCACCTGCGGCAGTTGTGTCTGCAGGAGTTCCCGTGCGGCACAGGCAGCTGGGTACAGGCGGCAAGGGGCTCCAGGGATTGGGGGACTGAACGAGGGGAAGGACGAGGTCGGGCTCAGGGCTGACCTGGGAGCTGAGGGGTCGGTCTGATCACGGAGAATGAGAGATTTGCATCCTAGCATTGGGGCAAGGGGGGCTTAGAGGGCAGGTTTGGGGAGCACTTAAGGAGTGACTAGAACAGGCCCCCCACCAACCCAGGCTGGAGGGCAGAGATCCTGCCAACCCCCACCACACACAGTCCTAGGAGCACGTGAAAGGCAACCCTACACCCCAGGGGACAGGCTCCATTTGAGGTGAAAAGCTTTCCACTGGATGCAAATTCAGATTCATCAGTGGGTGGGATAATCCCCTGGGATTATCCTTCCAGGCCTGGGGGAGCGACGCCCATCCCCTTGTTTCCTAACCCTTCACCCTAAAGCTTTGCTTTAGGGAGCAGATGTGCTTGCCCACCACCTACCGGGCTGCGGGGAACGGGAAATTGAGAGACAGAGGGCGTCAGGCCGAAGTTGTAACAGTTTGAAGGAGGATATTGTGGCTTGTACTCAAGGAGGTCCTTTTCCTCCGTAGTCCAGCGCAGTCCTGCGAATGGTGTCTGCACACCGGACGGGGCCATGGTGCACAGGGGCTGGGGAAAATTAAAGGCTCCTCCAGTGTGCCCAGGTAGTCCTGAGCCTTGAACGTTCCTGGGGGAAATGATCGGATGGCCCTGCGTTGAGGAATTCCGGGCCATCAGTCTGGTGATTTTATAGAGAGGGAAACAGACACACACCAGGAACATCAGACATTTCTTCGTTTCATCAGCTAGCACTGATTGAGCATGTGCTATATGACAGGGCAGTGTTAGGCTGTAGATGCTGCTGGACTAAGTCAAGCGCTCTGTCTGAAAAGGGTTTCTTTCCCATCCATTTCCTCATACCCTGTCTTGTGTTGTTGGTGTGTGCCCTTGAGTTGATTGTTACTTAGAGTAGAACTGCCCTGTAGGGTTTTTAGGATGAAATCTTTACAGAAGCAGATTGTCTCATCTTTTTCCCACAGAGCAGCTGTTTGGGTTTGGACCACCAACCTTTTACGTTAGCAGCCAGCACTTAACTTTTGCACCTCCAGAGTGCCTTTCATTCCTATGAAGGTTCTGGATTTTCCTTTCCAGCATTGTTTCCTTTACCTCAAAAACCTTTCCTTGATGAATTACACCCCCACATGTTGCCATTTGCATGTTCTGCTGTGTACCTTAATTCGTTGTCTTTATTGAGTCAACATTGCTGCTAGGGCAATGCTGAGTCATAGCGAGCCCATGCGTATCTGCCGTAGAAAGTGTTTCACAGGGTTTTCAGAAGTATGTCTCCAAGCCTTTCTTCCGAGGTGCCTTTGGGTGAACTCCAACCTCGTTTTGTTTAGCAGCTGAGCTGGTTAACCATTTACACTGTCCAGGAACTCCCAGGTGTTGTTGTTAAGTGTTGTCAAGTTGGTTCCAACTCATAGTGATCCTGTATAGGGTTTCTGAGGAGCAGCTGGTGGGTTGGAACCACCAGCCTTATGGTTTAGCAGTCCAATGCTTATCCTACAGCACTGTGGTGGTGGTGGTGATGTGACATCACTCATAACAACCTTGTATAGCATTTCCGAGGCTGTAAATTTTTGTGGTAGCAGAAAGCCTCATCTTTCTCCTGCAGAACAGCGGGTAGATTTGAACTGCTGCCCTTGCAGTTAGCAAACCAACACTAACCACTATGTTAAATCACTTACATTTGCATGTCTGAGGTTTCCAACCACAGAATAAACTCCTAGAGGCAGAAATTGGAATTGGACCTGTCAGGGATTATGTGTTTTTCTCATCTATGGTTGTATCCCTGAATGTTAATCAGTAAAAATGATTGCTTTTCTATGGTCTTAATTTCTAACTCTTTATCCCTAATTGTCCTATTTTATAATCTGCTTAATTTTGCACCTTCTTAAGAACAACACTATTGGTAGGACTCTGGAGCCCAACACCATTTAAAGGTAGGTTGCGGGTTGCTATCCAATGCTTATGTGACCCTTGTTTATGAATGTCAATTACAGAACTGTTTTGAACTGGTTTGAAGCCCTGCTTTAAAACAACAGAAATGTCTTATGTAGTTTCTGGTGTTGCCTGCCATCTTTGGTGTGTATTGAAATGTAGATGCAACATTCCAATCTCTACCTCTGTTGTCATATGACCTTTTTCCTATCTCTGTCAATCTGTCTTCTCTTCTCATAAATACATCATTGGTCCTGGATTACAGCCCACCTAATATCCTGGTGTGGAGTCCTGGCGTGGCGCTGTGGATTAAAGCGCCAGACTGCAAGGTCGTTTGCACTGTAAGGTCGGTGGTTCAAGCTTACCAGCTGCTCCTCGGAAACCCTATACAGGGTCGCTATGGGTCGGAACCGACTCAACAGTACTTAACAACAAATGACATCATTTTACCTGATTACATCTGCAAGGACCTGTTTCCAAATGAGATCACATTCAAAGATACAAGATTTAGCCTTTCAACATATCTTTCTGGGGGACACCATGTACCCTACACCCAAACTTCAAAGACTTCTATTTGACTCATGGTGGCCCTAGTGGACAGGGTAGAACCACCCCATAGTTTCTCCAAGGCTGTAAATGTGTTTACCATCCCTGACTGCCACATCTTTCTCACTAAGAGGAGCTGGTGAATTTGAACTACTGACCTTTCCGTTATCAATCAAACACTTAACCAACGTGCCACCAGGATTCCTCTGAATTCAACTCATAGCGATAGCTCAGTCTTAGAGAGACTTCTCCACCCACACCCCTACAGAATAAGTCTCGCTTTCTCCCTCAAACTTGGCGAACATGGCGGGAGCTGGTCCCCAGGGAGGAGGAGACCTTGAGCGCCCTGGAGGAGACGGAGGATGCCCTGCTGGGCCTGGTCCGCAGTCGCCACTCGCCCTGGGCCCTGCTGACCGACTCCAGTGCAGAGGACCGCTTCCTGAGAGAGTTGGCCATTCAGAATCCACTGATGCTCAAAGATGCCTTCTTCTACTCCTACTTTCGGTGCCTGCGAGTGGTGGATAAAGAGGTGAGTGCGTCCTGTCATATGGTCACGCCCCTTGCTGCCGCCATTTTTAGTTTTAGGGCAAGACTTTCAAAGCTGTCCCGTGTCATGTGACTTGAGCTCCTGCAGGCAGAGTGGGAGGCCAAGTCCCAAGAGGAGAGCAGATTCGTATCCCTGCTCTTACAGAAATAGATGGGCAAGGTTTTCTTTCTACTAAGAACAGTCCAGTTCTGACTCTGCGGACGGTATTGTCAATCGGGGTAGCTCCCTTTGTTAACCCTGGGAGACTCATTTTCTTCATTTGTAGGGTGGGGTAAGGAGCCCTGTTGGTGAGGTATTCAGGGCTCAGCCCCTAACCCAGAGGTCAACATTTTGACCTCACCAGCTTCTCCGATGGAGAAAGATGTGGCAATCTGCTTCCATAAAGATGAGAGCCTAGGAAACCTAGGGGGTAGTTCTTTGTTCTCTCCGGGTCAGGTCTGGTCGCTATGAGTCAGAATAGACTTAAACGCAGTGGCTTAGATGCGGTTAAAGAAACATTTGTAAGATAAGGTGTGTGGAAGTTCTCTGTAAATGCTGAAAACACTGGCTGGTTTTTTTTTTTTTTGGTATAAAATAACTTATTTACGTAATTTATATCTATAGAACATTGCTGCTTTCTTTGGAATAAGAAAATTGACAAATGACAGATATTGCTTTATTATGAAATACTTTTTCAGGCCAGATACTATATGTGTTCACTTCTATTTGAAATTAATGGTGATCTACAGTAGATATTAGTATTCTTATCTGGTCTTTTTTTTTTTTTAATATTTTAACTTTTTTGTGTATGAATTGAGTGAAAGTTTCCAGACAAGGTCATTAGCTACACATTCAACAAATCACACACTTTGTTTCATCTCACTGATTACAATCCCCACCCTGCAATAACAGTTATCTCGCTTCCTCCCTGTGGCTCCCCATTTACATCTTGTATTTCACAAATGGACAAAGCAAAAATATGTGATGTACACATACAAAACAAAAAATACATACTCATTTGAATGTCCTAAGGGCATATTCTGTAAGCCAGCTTCCTGCCCACAGGCACACAGCCTTACTCAGTCCACGGGCCTATAGCTGCTCTGTCTCTCCATGCCACCGCCTCTGCCACCGTCTGTTGTCCCTGCTTTTCTAGGTAGGATCTCACGCTCCACTCATGCTCTTCCTTCTTGTTGGTCCTGAGATCGTCTGTTTCTGAAATGAAAAATTAAATACTTCCCCCGCACCCCCAGCCTTTAGTTACACATCTTCTACAATTAGTTGTGATAATCACTGTTAGTCTTGCTGACAATTACTCACAATTGAATCATAAAATCTTGTCACCATCATCCCCATCCCCTTTCACCAGATCCATCTGGAGAAGAGGAAAAGTATTCAGTGGGGATTCTACCTTACCCCCCTCATCTGAAACGAAGCACATTCATGAAAGCTTGTAAACCAGCCACTTTGTGCCCTTATAACCCCCATTTTGATGTGGTGCTGTGGATTAACATGCTGGACTGCAAGGTTGGTTTGAGCCACAAGGGCGGTGGTTCAAGCTCACCAGCCACTCCTTGAAAACCCTGTACGGGGTCGTTGTGAGTTAGAACTGCTTAACAACAACTTTTTTTTTTTTTTCCTTTAGAAATTGATGTTTATTTTCCATCAATCTTATTTCCGTTTTCTAAGAGACTGAAAGACCAGTCAGTGATGGTTCGTACCCACTCAGCGGCCTGAGCAGTGGATGCTGCGGACCAGTCTTCAGTTGCGGACTGAGCGTTCCAGTCTTCAGTAGGGAACTGCTGAGTGGGCACAGAGGGCACCTGCCCGCTTTCAGACCAGTCTGCAACCTCAGGTTGAGCAGCAGTGAATTCAGGAGCACGTGTAGTCTGTTCACCCTGAAATTCTTCCTTGGTCACAGTCTTTTCAGCAGTGGCCTGCTCTTCCTTTTCAATCTCTTCTGGATCTCTGTAGAAATAGAGGTCAGTCATGACTTCCCACAGGTGCTCCCAAGAGATGGTGCCATGCATGCGCAGAACTTCCCGAGCCAGCATCCACCGCATCAGACCCACTGAATGAGCTCCTTTGTTGTTACGTGGGATGACAGTGTCCACGTAGCGCAGAGAAGAATCTGTGTTGGACAGAGCAATGGTGGGCAAGTTAACGTAAGATGCTTCTGTGAGAGGTTGGTGGTCAGCCCTGGGATTAATAACCACCAGAAGCCATGGATCCCGGAAGGCTGCCTGGATCTGATTCGTGAAGGTTCCTGGAGTGAAGCGCCCAGCCATGGGAGTGGCTCCAATGACAGCAGCAAACTTCAGCACAGCTCGCTGGCCGCTATTCCTGGAGGATGTGACACTGGCATCAGCCAGGTTCTCAATGGCAACAATGGCCTAGCTGCCAACAGAAGCTTCTCCCAGGTCCTTTTCAGGTTTATGATATAGATGCCATCACATTTTCTTTTGTGGATGTAGTGTTCCATTTGGAAGTCAAGGTTGGTGCCATCTAAGTGGGTTCCTGCTGCAAGGAATTTGAGGACATCCTCCTCCTTCATTTGCTGTGGACATTGTGAAAGTTTCCCCTTTAAGTTACAATGGGAACCCAGAACAACGCTGTATGGACCCTTCTCTGGGTAGCGCAGAAAGGCAATAACAACATTTTTGATAGCTCTGGTAGCATAGTGGTTACGAGTTGGGCTGATAACTCCAAGGTCAGCAGTTTGAAACTACCAGCTGTTCCACAGGAGAAAGATAAGGCTTTCTGCTACCATAAAGATTTATAGTCTCAGGAACCCTATACAGGGTTGCTAAGAGTTGGAACCAACTCCATGGCACAGAACCACCACCACCACCACCAATGTCTAGAGTGCCTGGCGTCCTAGTGTAGAATTTTGAATTCATGAGCTGGACTACAAACTCAGTTTGAACTGCAAGGTTCAAGCTCACTAGCTGCTCCTTGGAAATCCTGTACAGGGTCGCTATGGGTTAGAACCGGCTCAACTGTACTTCACAACAACAACATCAACCGAGTACACTGAGGAAATAAGCTTTTTCCTCCTTGATATGTAGACTCCTTACATTCCAGTTAGAATTTTGAGCAACTGCATACATAAAGATCCAATTAGTCAAATTATAGTAATTGACACTTCTCAGAACATCTGTATCTTCATCTGGTCAAGTTTTGGTCAGTTAGCCATCCAAGCTAGGTCAAATGAGTACTAGCTGCAAGTTTGTGAGTTGACATACACCTCCCTGCACTTCAGACCAGCTGGCCACTTGACTCTCAGCTCTAGCCCCCAGTGGCTAGGTCAGTGCCCATGCGCTTGGGAGTTCACACATCTCCTGAAACTTCAGACCAGCCAGTCCTTTCTGTTCTCTCTCTCATCTCAAGGTCAACAGTGTCAATGAAACATGGCCAAACTCAGCCCATGTCTTCATTGCTACATTTCCCCCACTTCCACTCACAAGTAAACCAGGGTGGTCACTAGCAAGCATACTAGAGTGCTCGTGGGTTCCCTTTGAGTTTCAGTCTCAGAAGGGGGTTTTCCCTAATGGCTGATTTTTCTTTCCTTGATCTGGTTGGTCTTAAATGACTGTCAAGACCAAGACGTCAGACTGAACCTTTCATCACCCAGACCTGTCTGTGATGTTTTGGAAATAACCAAAACAGGCTGGAATGTTAGCATTGGGAGAGATTCGAGACTGCTACCTTACTACCAGATGCCACCAAGTGGTTCCAACTCATGACAAGTCCATGAGTGGCAGCGTACAGCTATTTCTTTCTTTTGTTGTTGTTGTATTTCTTTCTTTTGTTGTTGTTGTTCCTGAGAATCTCCACAGCCGAACGTGCACCAATTCAGCAGTATCTTCATGCATAAGTCAGTGACACTGATTCCGTTCTTTGAGTTTTGACACCAATATCACCCTCCTTTTCCGAGTTGTTCTTCCCCATCAGCATGAACTCACTGCCCCCTGAGGTCTCTACTAATGTTTCTACAGTACTTATTGATAAGATTCAGGTGTGTGTGTGATGGGGGCAGGGGTGGAGGGAGGTGGAGGAGGGTACCCTTGGAGGGACTCTATGGTTTGAGGCTATCCTTGTGGTGCCTGGTAAAGGCCTTCCTAGGACTCCATATTGCTTTTATTCCATTTAAACTTGGGAAGCGAGGGGTTTGGAGGGCAGGAGGTTTCAGAATACTACATTAAATTCTATGACAACAAAGCCTTCTTTGCTGTTGCTTCTCCTTCTGCAGACAGTGCAGACCTGCACAGGAATCCTGGGGGTGAGTGGGGCAATCATCTAGTGCCCCCATAACAGGGGCATTCCCTGGCTTAGCGCTGGAGGTCTACTGTCCCAGGAACCTACTCACCATTAGATAAGGGATGGACGAGAGGCTCAATGAGGAAGGGCCTATGGTGCTGCAGAGGGCACGGGGAACTGGGTTTCTGGGCAGATCCCCGGACTTCTGCCAGCTCTACCTCTGTGCAAAGTACCCATAACCCCCAAGGCCTCACATGCTTCAGTGCCAGTCAGTTAGTTGGGCCAAGACTCACAGGATTCTGGGGAGCAGCAAAGGAGCCAGGATTCCTGCCTGTGGGAACACAGAGTCTGACCACAGGGCACTGACCACATGGTCACAAAGTCCTTGAGGAGGGATGAGGGCTGGAGCGAAGGGGTCACTCGGCATGCTGAGAACTGGAGTTCAGGCTGGACAATGCAGGCTGGACTAAGGGGAGAGAGTGTTGGGGTCCTGACGCTAGTTGAGTAACTCTGTGAAGATACGTACCCACTGCTGTTGAGTTGGTTCTGAGTCATGGTGACTCTGTTGGGCAGAGTAGAGCTTGCCCTTACGAATTTCCAAGGCTGTGATCTTTATGAAAGTAGATGACCACATATCTCTTGTGGAGTGGTTGGTGGGTTCGAACCCTGGACCTTTTGGTTAGCAGCCAAGCACTCTAACCACCATGCCACCAGGGCTCCTTTCTGAAGATGAATACGTTGTTGTTTTCCTAACTTAGGCACTTCCTGCCCCAGTGCCTCTTTGTCCACAGATGCCCCTTTCATCCTTCTTTCTAGGTAAGCTTGGTGGACAAAGACCTTCTGAAGTTTCTGAAGCTAGAAGAGTTGGTTTTGAGTGCCAACCAAATCAAGGTGGTCGATGCCATCAATCTGCCCCCAACTCTGAAGGTGAGGTTCCATTAGGGCTGCCCAGGGCCCTGCCCCTCCCTGCCCACAGATGGAAGGTGCAGCAGTGTGCCCGTGGCTGTGTGTGAAGGGCCAGCCTTCTAGAAGATTCACCAGTTACTATCAAGCTGTCCCTGACTCACGGCGGCCTGTGCATATCAGAGTAGAACTGTACACCTTGGGTTTTCTGTGGATTATATTTCTGCAGAGCCCTGGTATGGCGCTGTAGGATAAGCACTGGCATAGTAACCATACTAACAGCAAAGTGGTAGTTCAAACCTACCAGCTGCTCTCAGAAATCCTGTGTAGGTTTGCTATTCATCGGTACCAACTAGACAGCACACAACAACAACATCAAATATCTTTGGAGGTAGATAGCCAAACCTTTTTCCAGGTGCCTCTGGGTTGACTCAAGCCTTCAACTTTGTGGTAAATAGCTGAGAATTTCACCCCTCGCACACCCAGGGGTACAGGCCAAGCTTTACTATGAGTCTTCAGTTGGGTTATATCACAGTGTCTCTGTCCTAAAATGGATGGTGACAAGAGTGCTCTCCTCAAGAACAAATCAGGCGACACTTTGGATCAGAAGTCCAGTAGTGGAAGTCTATCAGAGGTGGGCTTTACTCCTTATCCCATACAGAGGCATCCTTCAGTGGGCTGAGAAGCTGCCCACAGGGTCAGACATCTCCCTTCCCAACTGGTGCAAATGCCTACTGCCATTTCAAACCTCGAAGTTTCCTTCATGAGAGGAAAAGAGCCCTCCAGACCTGCTGCAGAGATACTCTCTTCTTGGGTTTGGAAGCAAGCCCCCTAAGTGGTGACTCTGCCCCCATGTTCCCAAGACCCAAGGAAGGCAGGTCCCAGAGACTAGACCTTGATCCCTTTGGGGACCCCTGTCCGCCATCCTCCTCAGGTACTGGAACTCTACGGCAACAAGATCACCAGCATGGAGTGTCTGTGTGCCCACCCGCCCCCAGGCCTCCAGCACTTGGGCTTGGGCCACAACAAACTTCTGGGCCCCATGGAGAGCTTGTATGTGACCGCCAACCACTGGTAACTGGGGACAGGGAGGGATGGAGCGTTAGACTTGGCCAATTCTTCTCTTTAATATTTTGTTGTGGTTTGGGTGGATGTTCATAGAGCACATTTGGTTTCCCCTCCCTGATTTATATGTATTTTATTGTGTGGCATGGGTCAGAGTCCCCTCAAGGTACAGCACTTTTCCCACTTCCGCCCTGCGTTCCCTGTTGCCATTCACCCCTTTTTTTTCTTGCCCCCTCTGCCTTCTGTGTTTTGTTTTTGGGCAAATACCACCCTTCTGGTCTCAGATGGTTGATTATTCTAAGGAGCATGTTCCTCAGGGGTGGTATTGTTCACTTTGTAGGCCTATCTATTGTTTGGCTGATAAAGTCGATCCCTTGAAGGATGTTCAGTTCCGCCTTTGAAGGATGTCTTGGGGATTCCACTAATGTCTATCAGACCAGAAAGTCAGATCTTTTTATTATGTTGAATTGTATTCTACAATTTTCTCAATTCTGTTCAGGACCTTCTATTGTGATCCTGATAAGAGAGGTTAGTAGCCGGGCACCATCTAGTTCTTCTGGTCTCAGACAATTGGAGACTATGATTTATGTGGTTCATTCATCCTTTGGATTTATTGTTTCCTGGAATCTTTGGTTTCCTTCACACTTCTTTGCTCCAGATGGGGAGGAAGGAATAGTTGGATCTTAGATGGCTGCTCACAAACTTTTCAGACCTCAGTCACCACTCAGCAAAGTGGAATCTAGAACATTGTCTTTATGGCCTCCATTGTGCCAAGTAGTCCACTGCGGTCCTAAGGGTCAGGCAAGTGTGTGTTTTTATTAGTTTTTATTATGAATTGAGTGAAGGTTTACAGTCAGATCATCAGTCTCACATCCAACAAATCACACTTTGTTTTATTGTGTTTACCTCTATCTCCCCCTCCCCCCCCTTTTTTTTAATGTACGGGTCGGAACCGACTCGATGGCACATAACAACAACATAACAACCACACAGAAAATATATATTTGTTTAAATGTCCAAAGGGCACATTTTACAAGCCAGCCTCCTGCCCATAGGCATCCAGCCTTTCTCAGGGCTTGGTCCTTTACTCCCCAGCTGCTCTCCCTCTCCAGGCCACCACCTCTGCCCCGGTCTCTGCTGTCACCGCTTTTGTGGTTGGGATCCCACGCTCCACTCATGCTCTCCCCTCTTGCTGGTCCTAGGGTCCTCTGTTCCTGAAATGAAAGATTAATACTCCTGAGGCTTGAGCAGATCTTACTTGGTGACTTCAAAAACACAGCTCGGTTTTTTTCTGTAGTAGCTCCTGTTTGGTTGTTAAATCCAGAACCTAGGATTTCTATTTATGACCCAATAAAGAAATCTCAGCACCACTGACATTCAGGGCTGGATGAATCTTCAGAGCAGTGGTCTAGCGTATAGATTGTAAGATGTTGAGCAGCATCCCTGACCTCCACCCACTAGATAATACAGCTCCGTACCCCCACCTGTACCCACCCAAACTGTCTCCAGACGTGTGAGTGTGAGTGTCTCTTGGGGTAGACTTACCCCCAGGAGAGAAGCGCCTCAGAGACCATTCTGCTTCCTCTAGCTGCTTCATTGTTACTGAAAACTCAATGTCCTTTCAAAGTTGTATGCAGTAGCCCCTCCCGTTGTTTATGCTGATTTTGTCCCCTTAGTGGGCAGTGGTGTCTGATTAGGCTCATGGCAACTCCGTGTATAATAGAACAAAACATTATCTGATCCTGCCCCTCTTCATGATTGTTGGCACAATTGTTATTCACTATTGCGGTCACTGTGTAGTTTGAGTGGATTCATACATACTCTGGTACTGTGGCGGCTATTGTTCTCCTGTAATCTGTAGGGTTTCACTGGCTAATTTTTGGAAGTAGACCACCAGGCCTTTCTTCCTAGTCTCTCTGATTCTGGAAGTTCTGTGGAAACCTTTCCACCATGGGTGACCCTGCTGATATTTGAAATACCAGTGGCATAGTTTCCAGCATCACAGCAACACAGGTAATGGTCTTAGTCGCTTAGCTGTGGAAAACTTGAAATCTTGGCAGGAGCAGCAACCACCAGTGAAAGATTGTCAAGGCAGAGGGGCCAGGACGACGTCCCTAAGCATACTGGGAAATCCCCAGGATTGCATTGTGCTAGGTATCCTCATCATGGGTTCACTTGGTGGAAGTAGCAGTAAGTGTGGCCAACTTCCCCCTCCTCACTGGGTATTTTGGAGGATACGCTCTTTGTGTGGCCCACCTGGGTAAGTTCTTGGAGGGGAAGACTTAGTGGGTACAGGAAGGCCCCCCTCTCGGACCATAATGTCCATTTTCTTTACCCATCTAGTCTGCCCTAGCCTAGCTGCCTTGATGGGTGTTGGCTGCAGACAATTCAGGATTCCTTTCTCCCTTTGACCAGAGCTGTCAGGATGCACAGACTCCCAGGGTGGTGCAAACAACATTGCTCACGCCACCTGCTTAGGACAAAAGGCCCGGCCAGCCACCACCAATAAGTCAGCCACGGGAAACCCATGGAGCACAGTTCTACTCTGCTTCCCATGGAGTCATCGTGAGTTAGATGAACTTGATGACAAGAGGTTTTGGACAGGGAAGGTAGCATCAGAAGGAGACCTTCCCACTCAGTGTGGGCTTCATATGCCGAGTCACAAGCATTGGGGTTTGGGATTCAGAAAATATGCTAACCATCAATCTGAGCAATTTGCTTCGTCTCAAGTGTGGGCTTCTTAGAAACAGATGTCCATCCAGAGCCCCCATTTTCAAATGTTTGTTTAATTCAGTAAAAGTTTATAGAGCAGATCATCATTTTTACGTTCAGCAAATCATATTTGGCTTTTAATTTTACAAGGAGGGGATTTTGTGAATGTGTCGCCAGTTCTCCCAAGAAGGGCTCACAGTGGGTGAGGTGAGGTCAGCACACTTAGCCCAGCACATCTGTCTCGTGTATTTCCGCGCTCTGGCTGGTGTGTCCAGAGGCAGGACAGACAGAGAAGAGGTGCAGGAACTGTGTTCAGTCAGAGCGAAAACATCAGGACAACTATGTGAATTAAAGGGGCGCTGGGTTCTTTTTGCCTCTGTTCTCAGAGCTGAAATCAGTCTGGTTGCTCTGTGTCAGCGGCTTCTTCCTGGCCCCATGCTCTGTCCTGGTCTCCCCACCCCACCACAACCATCCCAGTTGGGGTGGATGCCTGCTTGGCCTTCTACTCTAACCCCTGAGAATTGTGCCACACGGCTCTCCCTGCTCGTGTGCGTCTGGATCAGAAAAGCTTCTAGAAGTTCCACCCCATAGCCCCACGCACCCAGGCCCCTAGAATCTCCCATGTACCACTGGCTGCTCTTCCCTTTTCCATCTGTCAGCATTGGTGGAGAACCTTCCAGTAAAACTGGATCCGGCTTGACAAGAGATACAAGCAAGGAGAGAGGCTGAGCAGGATGACCTGGGGGTGCAGCGTGGGAGGGACAACCTTAGGGCTTACCTGGTGGAGGGTGAGTGGAACTTTCTACCCTAACCTTCAGCCTCAGGCCTTCATTCTTGCCTGGATACAAGGTGCTGGGCCGGGCAGGTGCCTGGCTTCCTGACCTTGGGCATCGTGTGCCCCTTGTAGGCCCAACCTTGTCTCCCTGGACCTGGGCTTCAACAACCTGACAGACCTGCAGAGCTTGGTGGGGGGCCTGCGTACCCTTCGACAGCTGCGACTACTGATTCTGCAGGGTAACCCGCTGGCCCTGGTGCCTTACTACCGGGGCCTCACCATCGACACCCTGTCTCGGCTCTGTGTGCTTGACGACATCACCGTGTCTCCTAACGAAAAGCATCAGTTCCAGGGACTCAGCATCAGTGGGGGTGAGAACACTGTGTGCTGTGGAGAGAACTGACCCCTGGGTCCCTGCCTTTCCTGCCCACCCACCCTGCTGGTCACTCCCCCTGTCCCCCAAGCCCAGTCAGCATATTGTCGTCATGGCCAGAGGTTTCTCCCACTTTTGATGCCTTTGGATGAGATTTGGGCAAAAGTGGGGTAGGCAGGCAGTTTTAGGTACCAGGGAAAGTCTCTTAAGCCAACTTCTTCACTTCCCTGGTGGCTTGAGATCACCCCCTGGTGGATATGCTGGGAAATGCACCAGGGCCGCCTCTAGGTTGAGGGGATAAAACACCCAGGACTGGGTACTGGCTGCACGCGCGCCCACACTTACTCTTCAGGGATAATCCTCTCTGTCCCCATCCTGTGTGGGTTTGTCTGCTCTTCAGCCTGGTGGTGAGGGTCTTGGGGATGGTTGGACATACGACACCTGACCTGGACTCATGAGTGGAAAGGCAGTGTATTGGTCACACTGCTCAGAGCGACAATGAGGAGCGGTGAGAGGCAGGCCCCTGGCTCCCATGGGAGGGTGAGATTGGCTAATCGGTTAACTCCGCCCCGGAAGCTCCTGGTGCATTTGATGAGGGTTGTGTGGCCTGGGAACCCAGTGAAGAGGGGTCCTTGAGCTCCTCCTGGTTTTAGATGTCACGGCAGCATGAGATAGCATTTCTAAAACTTTGTATTGTGACTTGGGTTTGAGTGTACAGAGCAAATTGGTTTTCTATCTACAACTATGATACACTGTTTCTCTTTTTTGTTGTTGTTGTTGTTAACTCTTTATTGTAAATTGATTGAATGAAGGTTTACAGAGTAAGTTATCAGTTTTACCTTCAACAAATGATACACTTGGTTTCATTACAAGACTGCAATCCCCTCCACGTAATGGTATTTACCTCTGTTCGCTTAACTTCCTACACTCTCATTACCCTTGTCGTTCGTTCCCCTGTTGTACTGTGTCTACGTCAGCCAGGTTCCCATGGAGACACCTTTTCCTGACAGACCCTACAATGTAACAGCTCTCTCCCTGTTTCTGTTTCTCCTTGTCCCATCCGAACTTTATCCCTGGGCACATGCTGTCCTTAGGATCCTGGATGTTGGTTCTTCTAAGGAGCGTGTGGTTCTAGAGGCTGGTGTTCGCCTTGTAGGCATGCCTACATGTTGAAAGCTGAGCTACAGCACTGAGTTCGGTTCCAAGCTTGAAGGGTGTTTAGTGCCTTGGTCTCAGACATGATATTAATGTAAAGCTTTGTACCATGCACTCCCACTTTACAGATTGGGAAAACAAGGCTGAAGAAGGCTGTAGTGTTTAGCTCAAATCATTTCGTTTGAGGTTGGGAGAGCTGGGAGTAGAACCTCAGTCTGGCAACCTGTAATGCCCTCTCTCTCTGGAGGCCTGTCCCCTGCTTCCTTCCTGCCCTCCTGTCCCTGCAGACCTCTTGGCGCACGAGGCACATCTTGTGGTAACCATTGGGAATGTCAGGGGGGTTTTGGACTCCTCCGTCTTGGACCCAGAACCGGGGCCTGAAGGACCTTTCATCAAGTACAGCTACTACGTGACCTACGACTTCGTGGAGGATGATGAAGGCGAAGGAAGTGAATATGTCGGGGTGCTGGCTGAGGTGCGAACGGACAGGGTTGAGGGTCAGCTCTCAGGAACCGGCTTCTGCGCAGCCCCTGTTTGTAGCTGGAGTGACTCCCAGCTGTACCCACTCCCTGTCTCCTGGGATTCTGAGCCCCTGTTACAGGAGCCACCCAGACCCTCAGAGCCAGGCGTTCTCATCCCTACCCACACGCCTTCTTGTCTCCTACATCAAGGGTCCATGAGCCTGGTGAATCGAGGGTGGGCTCTCACTCCCAGGTTCCTTCTGTCTCCATAGAGACGGTCAGAAGCCTCGAAACCGAACACTTTAGTAACCTTCCCACCCTGCGTCCCTGTGCTCGCCCTGGTTTCGGTTTCTGGGGACGTGGACCGCTGTGTCTACGCAGACCCTCGGGTGACCTGGGGAGAAGTGTCTGGCATGCCTGTGTCTCCCGGGCAGATCGTCAAGCCCTCCCCCAGCCCAGAGATCATGCCCGAGGAGGAAGAGGACTTTGAAGAGGCGGAGGAGTCTGTGGAATCGGGCGCCATGACCGAGTCAGGGGAGCAAGAGGGCTCTGTCTCTGCCGGGGGCTCCGCGGTCCTGCCCAGGTCCGTGGACTCCACCGAGGAGCTGGCCCAGCTGCGGCCTCACATCGATCCCCGGCTGTGCCCGTCCCCAGGGTAAGGCCCTCCCCACCCCCACACCTGCCACCTTCCCCTGCTCTTGCTTAGGACAGCCATCCCCTGGGGTCTGCTCACAAGGGCCCCAGGCCACCACTCATGAGCTTGTGGGTGCAGGGATGCGGTAACTCCTTGTGTTCCTTCTCATCCCTCCTGCGGGGTCACTGGGGAGCCCCCACTCCAGGGCACAGAGCCGTGCCAGCCTCTACCTCTCTCCCAGCCCCGAGACCAGCGGTGGAGACTGGGTGCCCAGTGAGCACCGGCAGAACCATGTAATCCGCCCCACTCCACGTGCAGCCCAACCCCGGTCCCAAATATTGGCCTTGTGTCGTGTGTAGTTGTTGAATTTATCCCCAAAGACTAGTTGTCACCTACCCTTACTGGTGTTGGCTGCCCAAGCACATTTATTACAGGGCTGTTTCTTAGTATTGCTGCTACTGCTTCTCCTCCTCCCTACTTCTCCAACCTCCTCCTTTTCCATCTTTCAGTTTACATTTACTAACGTTTTTAAGTTTATTAATGTTTAAGGATTTACTTCTGTGATCCTAAGCTTTGCCCTCAAATTTTCCACAGTGATGAGATAATACCTACCTACAGACTATTTTGAAAATTGCTTTATTCACTTATTATTATATCAAGAATAGCTTTCATACCAGTTGACTAAAACCTTCCTTCTGGTTTTTCTGTTTTGTTTTCATTTTTCTTTCATTTAAACAACCAAAGGGCACATTTTGTAAGCCAGCCTCCTGGCGGCCAACACACAGCCTTTCTCTTTCCATGAGTCTAGAGTCCTCAGCTGCTCTATCTCTCCATGTCATCATCTCTGGCTCTATCTCTGGTGTCACTGCTTCTCTGGATAGGGTCCCACATTCCGCTCGTGCTCTTCTCCATTGATGGTCCTAGGGTGCTCTGTTCCTGGGATGTAAGATGAACTACTCCCCCCTTTGTGCTATACAACTTTTACCTTTACAGCTGTGACAGTTACAATTAAACATGATGACAATTAGTCACTAGTGAATCAAATCCATTTTCTTCTTATTGTGATTTAGGTGAAAGTTTGCAGAGTAAATTAGTGTCTCCTTCAACAATTTATACACATTTTTTTAATGTTTTATTGTGAATTATGTGATAGTTTACATGGGAGAACATTAGTTTTACATTCATTCTATCGTACATTGTCTCTCATTGCCATGGTTACAATCCCCTCCATGCATTCCTTCCCCCCGTAACCCCCAAGTCTTCAGCACAGAGTCGCCCTCCCTCTCTGGATCTAAAGTCTCCAGCTGCTCAATCGCTCCACATCATCATCTCTGGCTCCATTTCAGACATCACTGCTTCTCTGGGTAGGGTCTCGCTCTCTGCTCTTCTCCCTTGA